AAGATAGAAGGGGGTTCTAGCGGGTCTTGAGAGCGGGGTTAACTGGGGTACCGGGAGCAAGGCGCTGGGGGCTTGGAGATGCCCTCAGCCTGACATCGCTGCGCCTTTTTCATTGGTTCCGGGGCTCTGGGTCTAACCAGCTCTCTGTCCCAGTTTTTCTCTTTGAAGATGACTATTTTGAGCTTTACCTGGACAGAGCTTTGTGCAGCCATTTCCTTCCCTGGAGCTCTGACACCCACCTGACACCTTCCCATCCCCCTCTGACCTGCTGGGGAATGGGGTTGTCCAAGGAAGGGATCCAGGGTTCAGGGACACGTGCAGTAAAGTATGAAGGGGGCGGGGAGGGCACTGGACACACAAGAAGACCCTTTGGCACTGATGGGTGTACCAGGCTTGGCAGGGAGGTGGCAAGGGGTAGGGTGGGCAGGCGCTTCAAGAGCAGACCCGCTAGGAAAGCTGCCGGGCACGGGGAGTGCTCCCACCTCCCAGGAGAGAAAAAGGCAGAGGGTTTGGCTCGCCTTTGTTTGCCTGCCTGCCTGCTTGCTGAGCATCCTCCTCCACTCTAGATTCCAGCACTCTTTCCATGTCTCGTCTGCTTTTGCAAAAGGGGTCAGAGGCGGGAAACGCATCGGCTGGAGAGATGCCTTTGTGTAAGAGGGAAAGCCAGCAGACAAGAACACTGAATGTGAAATTAAAAAACCCTCTGTTTAAGGCTTACTTTAGTGTTCCGTGGATGACCTTGAGCCAAAAAACGTGTACCCCTTGTTTCAGCACCAGCTTTCTCCTCCATGAAGGGAGAGAGGGTTTATCTACATGTCTAAAGTAGCTTTGTAAAAAGGAACAGATTAGACACTTGGCAGGTGCAGTTTTTACCACGACACAAGGGCCCCTTCTGTCCTCCCTGCCCTCACCAAGTAACCCATAGGACATCTCTGTGAGAATCAGAAAAGCACCTTCTGGAAGGAGGCAGCGTTCGGCTGGACCTGAGGTCTTTGTGGTGAGAACGAAAGGGCAGTGCATTTTACCCCAGCAGCTGGGCAAGCGGAACACAGGCTCGATTCCGATCCTCAGGTGAGCAGCCTGGCGTGAACCTGGCAGCTCTTCCCAGCAGGCCCCTGGCATCTGTAAGAGACACACGGCTACACACACTCTCAGGGTACCTCCCAGGAAAGCTCATGTTCCAAACTCTCTCTAGCCCCTCTCCTGCTGGCCTCCACTTTGGAGCCTTTGGGTGTTCAAGCTTCAAAGCCTCTGCCCTACTTCAGAGCATGATGGAACCCCACCATCAGCGGCCTCCAGGAATTGGATAATGCCATCACCAAGCATTTACTAAGGTTCTAACCCCTTATGTCAAGAACTTGATCACTTTTCCCAGGGGTAAGAACAGAAGCGTCTGGACACCTGGGTAGGTCTGTCCCTATACAGACCTTGTTCACAATTGCTGTCTGGATATGTTACCACAAGCTTGTGTGAGGCCCTCCATCATGCCATTTACATGGATGAAGCCTTCCTTACTCACAGAGTTAAAAAACAATTGCCTAAGGTGCCTGGGGTGTGACTCAGTGTCAGAGTGCTTGCTGTCCATTCATTCCCCGAGACTGGTATCCCGATCTAAGTGTCTGTCCACTCCATTCACCACCACCACCACCAAATGAATCGTTGACTTCACCATCCTGCCAGAATTTTATTTTGTTCTCCATATCCTCAGCAGCTGTGGCTCTCTCCTGCCCACAGGAGCCAGGCTCCAAACACAAAGGCACAAAGGGGGTTATCATAGCCCTTAAAAATGAAAACAAAACGATGTACATGTGTGTATTGTTTGCATGTATGTTTGTGTGCCACGTGTGTGCCTGCCGCCCACAGAGGCCAGAAGAAGGCATCAGATCTAGTTATAGATGGTTGTGAGTTGCCATGTGGTCCTGGGAGATTAAATCTGAGTCTTCTGGAATGGCAGCTAACACTCTCAGCTGCTGAGCCACCTCTCCAGCCCCTGGTTACCTCATTCTGTTTTCACAGGGACGACACTAACTCAACGCCTGGCCCAGTGCAGGAAGGACCCCAGGGGAGTCTGGGGAGACCCTGTGGGACCATTGAGTAGGTCAGAGGCCAGGAAAGGGGTTAGAGAGAGGCTCTCTCCACTTATTCCCAGATACGACTTAAAACGTTGTCACGGCGGATACAAAGAGCCCGTGTTTATTGTGAAGGGCAGGCCAAGGACCAGAGCAAAACCACCGGAAAATGTGGTGGAATGGACGTGCTGGCTGTTGGCAATTTAGACCTCCCTAACACCCGGAGAAGGAGGAGGGGTGAGGAGAGAGGACCCGGCTGTAGGCCTCAGGAAGTAGAGCATTTCAACATGCTTGCGGCATGTGCACCAGGTCTTATTTGCAAAAGGATTCTCATGCTTTACAAAAGTCTGGAGAAGTACTGGCCTAATCCAATGGTTCTGAAAATGTGAACTCTAAATCAGCTGATCAGACTATACTAAGGATAACTATTAAACATGCAAACTCTCAGGCCCCATTCCAGATTTCTGGAATAAATTCGAGGCGGGGACAAGTATGGGTGCTGTAATGTGCACTCCCGGTGACCCTGAAGCACCCTAAGTGAGAAGCACTGGCCTAGTGAAGGAAAACGGGGAGCAAGTCACGGGTCAAGAGCAAGGCTAGGTAGAAAAATTACAGGTGGAGGCAGCCGCTGTCCAACCCTCCTCCCCTGCGGGGGTCTTCTCTCCCTTCCCAGGTGCCATGCTGCTGCTGCTTCTGCTGGGCTTGCTAAGCCCGGCGGCCTGCTGGGCCCTGGGCCCAGCTGGCCCTGGCTCTTCCGAGCTGCGCTCAGCCTTCTCGGCGGCTCGCACCACCCCGCTGGAGGGCACGTCGGAAATGGCGGTGACCTTCGACAAGGTGTACGTGAACATCGGGGGCGACTTCGACGCGGCCACCGGGCGGTTCCGCTGCCGCGTGCCCGGCGCCTACTTCTTCTCCTTCACGGCCGGCAAGGCCCCGCACAAGAGCCTGTCGGTGATGCTGGTGCGCAACCGCGACGAGGTGCAGGCGCTGGCCTTCGACGAGCAGCGGCGGCCCGGCGCGCGGCGCGCGGCCAGCCAGAGCGCCATGCTGCAGCTCGACTACGGCGACACGGTGTGGCTGCGGCTGCACGGCGCGCCG